TTTTTAATTAATTATTTGGCTGCGCCAGGTCTTAGTTGCTGCACGCAGGATCCCTGACCAGGGCTTTTTTTTTTTTTTTTTTTTTTTTTCGGTACGCGGGCCTCTCACTGTCGTGGCCTCTCCCATTGCTGAGCAACAGGCTCTGGACACGCAGGCTCAGCAGCCATGGCTCACGGGCCCAGCCGCTCCGCAGCAAATGGGATCCTCCCGGACGGGGCACGAACCCACGTCCCCTGCATCGGCAGGCGGACTCTCAGCCACTGCACCCCCAGGGAAGCCCCCCTATACTCCTCTTGTGACTAATGACACCGAGCATTTTTCATGTCCTTTTTCATCACTCACATCTTCTCAAAGTTATCTGTTCAAAGTCTTTCACCCATTTTTTAAATTTGGTCATCTTATCAATTTGGAGGAATATTTTCTGTACTGTGGATAAAAGTCCTCAGTCAGACACACATGTTGCAAATATTTTCTCCTAGTCTATGTTTTGCCTTATTTTTCTCTTAACTGTGTCTTTTGAAAGCAAAAGTTTCTAATTTTGAAGTCTAACTTACCAATTTTTTTCATCTATGGTTCATGCTTTTTGTGTCCTAAGAACTCTTTGCCAAACCCAAGCAAAGCTTCCAGAAGTTTGTTTTTACATTTAAGTCCATGCCCCACTGAACTGATTTTGTGGACAGTATGAGGTCTCTATTTGTACAGATTCCCTGCTGTTTCAGCACCATTTGTTGAAAGACTCTCTCCCACTGAATTATCTTGTCACCTTTGACAAAAATCAATTGACTCTACACTCTTACATTATTCCTGAACTTTCTATTCTGCCCTATTGATTTACATGCCTATCCTTACACCATGACCACCCTGTCTTGATTAATGCCGTTCACAGTGTGCCTGCAACCAGCTGCTGGAAGCTCTCTAACTCATTCTTCTTCCAAACTCTGACAGCTGTCTTAGGTCCCTTCCATTTCTATAGAGATTTTAGAATCAGTTTGTCAATTTCTCCCCAAAAATCCTCCTGGGACTCTGATTGGGATTGTGTTGAATCTATGAATTGTCTTAACAACACTGAGTACTCCAATCCATGAACACGGTCTCTCTCTCCAGTTACTTACGTTGTTACCAGGTTACCCTTAATTTCTCTCAGCAACTTCTTACTGTTTCCAGTGTATGGGTCCCATACACATATTTTGTTAAATTTATTCCCAGGTACTTCACAGACACATCACAGGGTGTCCCTCTTCAGTACCTTCAAATCATCCCGACACACCACGCTACCGAGGAATGAGGCTCAGCGAGTCACAGCCCTCCGCACCACTGCCCACTCCCTCAGTCCAACCCTCAAGACCCTGGGACAAGAACGTCCGGACACCAGACGCAGCCACCCTCCTCCCCACACCAGCACCTGCAAGTGCACAGGCCCCACCTCACCCATGCAGGGCATTCCCTCGCACCCTCAAAGTCCTGATGTCAACCTGCCCCTGACTCACATGACCCACGTGCTGCAGACAGGGGATCAGATGACGTCAAGGGTGGACAAGCTCGTCTGGCAGATAAGGACACTCGGCCCAGCAGGTTCCCTATAGGTTTGCACTGGCTGACCCACCAGCCAAGTCACCCCCACCGCCCTGTTATCCCTAGGTCCTCACGATTTAAGAAATCCCAAACTAGGAAGAGGGTGACCACCGTGCTGCCACGTGGACCCTTCTCTGTCCCTAACCTCTGCAAGACCGCAGAGCCCTCTACAGGCCCCAAGGTAGCAGGGAGCCGCCGTCACCAAGGGGGGGCGGTGCCACCTGGTGGCGGCAGCTCTCAGAAAACCACAGAGACGCTGGACGGCGGCCAGAGCCTGGGGTCATGACAGGCCCCAAATGAGCAAAATTACAGCAACGCCCTGACCGAAACACCCAACAAGGCTTCCCTGGTGGCGCAGTGGTTAAGAACCCGCCTGCCAATGCAGGGGACCCAGGTTCAAGCCCTGGTCCGGGAAGATCCCACATGCCATGGAGCCCGCGAGCCACAACTACTGAGCCCGTGCGCCTAGAGCCCGTGCTCCGCAACAAAAGAAGCCACCGCAATGTGAAGCCCGCGCACCGCCACAAAGAGTAGCCCCCGCTCAGCACAACTAGAGAAAGCCCACACACAGCAACGAAGACCCAACATAGCCTAAACAAATAGATAAAAATAAATTAAAATATATATACATTAAAAAAGACACAACAGACTCCTGCCTGCCAGGCCAGGCCAAAACACCCTCCCAGCCCCTTGAACCTCTAACGCCAGGGCAACTGCTGGACTCCAACTTCAGCTGTCCGCTGAGGCTGGCTGATCACACTTTGGGGAAGGGGTCCCTGGACTAGCACGCAAAATCTCACGTCCACACGCACCCACTCGCAAACCTGTGTTTTTGTGGGGAGAAAGTACGACTTTCATCAGATTTTGAGAGATTCGTGACCCCATGGTGAGAAACGAACGTTCCAGAAGACTCTTCCATTTACAGATGTGGAAACGGGTGTAAAAGAGACCCCACGACACACAGGGGCTAAGCTGGGGTCAGACACATGTGCAGCCACAGTTTAACAGGGTCTGAGATGGCCCCAGTCACTACCGCTGCACTGAACACTGCGAGAGTGACAAAGGGTGTTCCTCAGCTCCTGGCGGAGCCCACCTCCGCCCACCAGGCAGGGACCCCCAGACAACGTCACCTTGGAACAGTGCACGTCTCTTCCTCCCACGCCCACCCCTTTGCAGGGACCCCACACTGCAGCAACGGGCCCCCAGCCTCTCCCTGTGTCCGAGAACCCTATGCCCATTTCCCACCCCCATACTCAATTTCAAGAGACGTGGGCTCCACCAATTTACCCTCCCTGCTCAGAAACCGCTAATGACGGCCCAAAACCCGGCAACAGAGAGCCAAACCCCTCATGTTATTTGTGGTCACACCAAGACTCAAGTCCAGCGCTGGACAGGCGGACTCAATGGGCCTGACCTCAGCCCAGGCGTCTGCACGTGCACCAAACTCCCCAGGTGATCCAGCTGATGGGCCACACTTACACCGCAAGCCTGTGACCCTCCAACCGGCACTCGACACACGTACCCGCGTAAGCAGGGCAGGAGTTGCCGGAGGTGAGGGCCCGCCCCAAACGCCCTAGTAGGGACAGGAAAGGGCGGAAGAGCTAAGGTTTCCGAGGGGCCCCCAGAAGCGGCCCAGGCACAACCGCCACAAAGCACGTGAAAAGAAGGCTTCTCTTTACAGGGGCTCCCACCAGGAACCCCAGGAGATGAGGACAGCCAGCCACACCTCACTGCTCTGCAGTGTGCACGGCACCCAGCGCACAGGCGCATCTAACCTCCACCAACACAGCGAGGCAAGCCCTGCGGCCCTGCCCAAGGGCAAGGGACTGGCCTGGAGCAGTGCGAAGACTCGAAGAGGGGCGCCCTGACAGGCGGGAGAGCAGGACACGACTCCAGCCTTCGCGAACCACCTGTTTTCCCTACAGGGAAACGCATGCCCCCCTTTCCTGCTGACCCCGAGCTGCCAGCAGGCGTGGGCAGCCCCCACCTCCGCCAGCGCTCCAAACCACCCCTTCCTCCCGCCTCCAGGGCCTGGTCACTAAGGGCAGGCGGGGTAAACACACAACACGCGTAAGCACGGGACCAGCCCAGAAGCCCGCGGGCATAGGCCCCAACCACGTGCCAGCCGCTGGGAGGTGGGCGGCGGTGGTCAGGTTTGGAAGCGGGACCAAAAGGTCTCAAGGAGCAGCTGCACCTTCCATCGTGTCCAGCACACTGACCCTTGCGCCATTCTGGCCAGAGACGGCAGCTGGCTGCGCGCCGGCCCTGCTGCCCTGACTGAGGCGTTCAAACACTCCAGCAGCCGGTGCCACCCGGCGCGAGAGGGCCTCCGATCTCCCGCACAAGAGAAAAGTCATGGAGCGTTCTCTTCTGACGTGAGCCTTCCTGGGAGTGGGAGGGAAGCTTCCCCACGAGTTCATCAGCCCAGAGAAAAGGAGGAAACACAAAACATCTAGGCCTCGCTGGGGCCAGCCCTACATGACCCTGGGTTCCGCAGGTGGAGTTCAGGAGGGAACAGCCTACTCTGTCCTCTGAGACTTAGCGATATCGAGGCAGAAGGAAAACGAAGGGGCATCTTCAAGTGACAGACAGCTGGAGTCCATGGTGCGATGGAGCTGGTGCAGGTCCCAGAGGAGCAGTCAGAGGCTGTGATTACGGGACGGCCCTTTGCGGAGGGCTCTCTATCTAGGCCCAGCTTCCGAGAGCAGCAGGACAGACCCCCGAGAGGACACAGGCTTCAAGTCGCACAAGCAGACAAACAGGAGGCTCTCTAAACCCACAGGCCCCAGGCGCCAGGACTGAGCCTGAAGGACCAATCTCCCACCCCCACCCCCAGAGCGGAGCAGTGGGCAGTCGGTCTGCAGGCGGACCGGGCAGGGAAGGGACCTGGGGGCTAAGGGCCAGCGGTGGAGCGACACGGAGAAAGGGGCAGCGGCCCCAGAAGGACAGGCAGCAGGACAGATGGAATCGGGAGCAGGGAGCGGTGGGAAGATGCCCGTCTGAGAAGCAGCCCCGCCCGCCATTCGCCTGCTGGCGTTAGCTGAGCAGACGAGCCGAGGCTGCTGCCAGGGCCTGACGGGAGACAACCCGCCATCGCCGCGTCCCTGTTTGCCCTGAAGGCTCAGTTTACCTCTACTCGTTACAACCACCTAGAAGAAATGACTTCCTCAAAAGCAACTACGTCCTCAGGATAAATAAAAAAGAGCCCTTCAAGAAAACCCAACACTGCAGGGCCCACACCTGCCAGCGCTCTGTCGAGAATGTCCCGTCCTCGGCGGGGAGAGTCCCTACTTCCATCTCCTTAAAGCTACGCAGCCGCAGGCAGGGTCTCTGCTGGAGGGAACCGGGCTGGCAGGGCCCATTCTGCCACAGGTGCCATCCGCGCGGGGAAAAGGTGGGGACCCTGTGCCCCGGCGCCGTCCGCCTACCTGATGCTCAAGCCCGTGGTCTGGTCCAGCCTCTCCCAGCTCTGCAGTTTCGTCAGCAGCCTCTGAAAAGACACAGAAGTAGAGCCCTTAGAGCGCTGTGCCCGTCATCTCCGTGCAAGCGCCGGGCCCTCCCACCTCCTCCACACACGCACCTCGACCCCTAGCACGGCAGCACCACACAAAACCGACGACATCACCTCCCTGATCCTCCGGAACGGCCCGCCCTGATCGCTGAGCCAAAACGCAGAAACGCGCCCATCCGCTCCAAAGCAGACAGGTGCTTCCCAACCGCTGAAGCTACACTGCGTGCTTAACATCTCATTCATTCCTGGCTCCGTAACTTCAAGATTCCCAGCAGGCCAGAAGGACTGCGGGCTGGGGGAAGGGGTCGGGAGCAGACAGCCTCCTGGACAGTCCTGCGATAACCACCAGGGGGGCAGACGCTGCCCACGGCCTTGTCGCCCATCCTCCGGGTGCTCCTCAGGATGCCAAGCCCCAGGGCAGACAGACTTGGGCCGAGAGCCAAACCCCACCCCCCAACACACGCACGCGCGTTGGGCTGGGCCCCTGTGGCCGCTGGGAAGAACAGGGGGCAGCAGCGGTGTCCCCACCCGGCCCGCATCCCGGGCCTCCCGCCCTTGTATTCTCACAGCCGCTCCACTGACCCACATCCCACATCGGAGTCTTGCTACCTTCCCAGGCCGCGTGCCTTTGTCTGGCCTCCCACTCCTTCCGGGGGCCAAGCCCAGCGCTGTTCAGTGCGCTCATTCAGCCACTCAAGTACTTCCTGACCCCTATCGTGTGCCGGGCACAAGACTGATTAATAAATCTATTACTACAGCTAACGCTAAGTCAGTGTTTACCACTGTTTAAGCACGTTACACTACCTCATTTAATCCTCACAACCCTGTAGGGAGACACTCGTTCCTCGTTACACAGGTGGACAGAGAGGTTAAGTGATTTGCCGGGGTCACACCGCCAGCGGGCACGCGACAGCAGGGCTGGAACCCAGGCAGTGTGATTCTACATGCAGAATCTTAACCAACTTCAAAACAAACTACGTCCAGAGAAAAGCTGCTGGACTCCGGAACTGTCTTTTCGGGCTAAGTGCCCACGTAAGCCAACGCCTGAACGGGATTTGTGCTCCAGACCCACGATGCCTCAGCTGGCAGTGAACCCACTGGGGGGCGCAGCTGACGAGCACTCTGACCAGACTGCAAGCTACGGGAAGTGGTGACATGGTTTACGCCGGGCAAACCAGAAAGGAAGGTGACTGAAGGTGACCACGGGGAAGCAGTGTGGAAGGACAGAAGGACCCCGGGCCTGGAGCCGGAAGGCCTTCGTGCTGGTCTGCTCAGCAAGCGAACAAGGATGCTTTCGGCACTGACGTCCACGGCCATCTCTACAACAACCCACAAAATGTCCCCATGAGTCCCAGCAGCAGCCACAGGGAAAGGAAACTCAGCACAGGTGTCTGTTCACATCCATGGGTGGGAACAACGTGCTCCAGGTACCACAGCCACCTCCTCTCTCTGACTCAGCATCAGAGCTCCTGAAACAAACTACTACGAGCTCGGTGGCTGAGAACAATACACATTTACTGTCTCACAGCTCCGTAGGTCAGAAGCCCAGCAAGGGCCTCACTGTGCCAGGTCAAGGGGTCGCAGGGCCACACTCCTCCTGGATGCCCTGGGGAAGAACCTGTTTCCTCGTCCGTTCCAGCCTCTAGAGGTGCCCACGTTCCCTGGCTCACAGCGCCTTCCTCCATTCATCGCCACCAAGAGCAGCAGCAAGTCCTCCTCACCTCACATGGCTCTGACCTCCAACCCCCTCTGGCCCCTGTCAGGACCTGTGAGCACAGCGGCCCAGCTGGGGCCCACCAGGAGCCCCAAGGGAGCCTCCCTACCACAGCTAGGGGTCAGCACCCTTCGTCCCCTTTGCCCACAGTTCTGGGGAGCAGGATGGGGCTTCTTTAGGGGTCACTACTCTGCCCACCATACTAGCCCAGCGGCTGCCACATTTTAGCTGAACAGCTGGAACGTAGGACTAAAACACCCAGGGTCTCCCCTAGCCAGCCACAGGACACCCACGGGGACCAGCTCACCTCCTTCTCCAGCTCCAGGTCGACCAGGGTTTCCTGCATCTTCTCCTGCCGCCCCAGCCTCCGCTGCAGCCCCTCCAGCTCCTCCCGGAGCAGCCCGTTGGTGTCCCGCATCTCCCTGGCAGGGCCAGAAGCACAGTCACTCAAACAGCCGCACCGCCAGGGGCGGTGCAGGAGCCCCTGGAGCAGGGGCTGCACCCAAGGAGGCTGCAAACATTTTGCACACGCACGCACACACCGCCACCAACCCCCCCCGGGCCCCTCACCGCAGGCAGGCGTTCTCCTCCCGCAGCTGCCGCAGCTCCCTCTCCACCGTGGGCAGCCGCGCCAGCTCAGACCTCATATTCTTCACGATTGCAGCGTCCTGCTCCTGCAGGGTCAGCTTCTGCTCCAAATCCTGATCGAGGCCGGAGACAGAGGGGAGAGTGTCATGGGCGCCTAACTGTCCCAGATCCATGGCAACTTCCACGGCCCTGGCCCCCGCCTCTGGGCAGGCTGCGCCGGCTGTGCCTCTGCACAGTGTCCTCAGGGGACACTCCCAGGGTAGCCCCACGCGCCACGTGCCGTGCCGCCTGCAGGGCAGGAGCCCGTCACACGTCCGGCACAAGGACGCGCGGCGAATGCTCCGTGAATCGACACCCACCCTCCCACGCTGGCTCTGCTTGCCACTCCCGTGGCACAGGGTCCTGACTGAGTCCTCGTACGGTGAGGACAGCCTGTCCATTACGACATGTAGTCCCCGGGAACACACGGAGACACCGGGGAGACTCAGTGACGAGTCACAGAACAACAAGCACTAAGGGGCCCAGCTCTGGGCCAGGTACTGGGTCAAGCAGCGGGGACACCATGACACAGAGGACAGATGAGATCTCTGCAGGGAAGAGCGTACAAAAGACAGACATCAGGCCGTGCAGGCAAGTCACTACTGAGAAGCGGGCCAAGGACTCAGATGGGCGGACGGGGCAGGGGAGACGTAACGGGTCGTGTGAAGCAGTGAGGGCCGGGGAGGAGAGACGGATGAGCCGCAGAGGACAGCACGTGAAGACCAGAGGCGAAAGCGAGCCGGGAGGTCTGGAAGCTGACACGATGGAGCTGGGGGTACACGGAGCCAGAGCACGGGAGCGGGGCCCGGTGCGCGGATGGGGCTCTACGGGCAGCGGCAGCCATCACGGCTCCCGGCCGCGTCCTCCCACAGAGCGGCAGCACGGCCTGAACTAGAGTCACGCCGACCTGGCTCTGGGACCCAGCTGAGTCCTGCACTAGCTGTGCGACGTCGGGCAGGCTGCTGTTCACCCTCTCCAGTCCTGTTCTATCACCTGCACAGCAGCCCGTGGTACTTGAAGTTATCACACGTTTACTTTTTACTCTATGTGTTTGATTCTGATCTTCATCCAAAAGCATACGAGCTTCCTGGGAGCAGAAATACGCGCCCCGGCATCCAGCACAGCGCCCAGCACATAAGGAGACAACCGACACGTGAACAGCTACAGTGGACACAGGCAGCTAACCGCCACTAGAGGCCACTGAGTACGCCCCCAGCTCTGAAACAGCCACGGGTCATAGGGGGCCGGGCCCGGCGCTGTGACATCTCCCAGGCACAGCCCAGGGACTGAAACGGAGCAACTCACCTTAATCCTCTGCTCTTGGTCCACCCGTGCTTCTTGGCTGGCCTGGAGCTCCTGAACCTTCTGGTTAGCTTCCTGCCATTTCCTATTAAGAAAAAAGTACACCATGTGCAGAAACAGGCATGTGGTAAAGCCAGCACCTGCCCGCACTCTAAAAGCTCTCCAGCACAGACACACTCACTCATACACGCGTGCAAGCACACTCCTGCACGCTCCCTGCAAGGACGCCTCAGGGTCCAGGGCCCAGCCCCTGCTGCTGGCTCTGTGGCCTGAGTCGCAGGGCACGTGGGTAAGTCCAGACCACCTGCGAGTCCTCTCCCCTCCCCACACCTCTCACAATAGGAGCTTCTGCTGGCCCTGGAACAGCCAAAGCCAAGGACCCGCTCAGGACCGGCCCACCCCCCCCAACCCTGCCCCATTCCACCGAGTGGTCAGAACTCCCCTAAGACAACACCTGCTAAGGCAGAGGCCACGAGCTTGGGAGAGCGCTGTCTTCCACCTGCATCTCCTGGCGAGCTCCTCCATCCTGCCGTGCCTTTGCTCAGAGGGTTCCCTCCCCAGGAACGTCCTTTCCCACCCACGTCCCCCCTGCCCCAGGGCATGTCCTACGCACGCTCAAACCCAACATCTTCTCTGAAAGCTCCCTCCAGGAAGGCATCCCACTCCCAGAGGAGGAAAAAAATGACTGTTCCCGCTTCTTATTCTTGGAACATTTGAAACACTGCTCTGTTCTAGCACTAAAAGGTCCTGGCTTCAAAGGCCTCAGTGTGTCCCAACAGCCTGTGGATGGGAGGCCAGCACACGAAGGGCACTCGTGGAACCTCAGAGCTTCAGTGCACACGACGATCGTGAACGCTGGGCGCTCACGCCACAGAGGGCATACGCAGGAGAGCAAGCCTGGGTCTGGCACATGGTTAACGAGTGGACGCCCAGCTCGGCACGCAGCCCAGCAGGCTTCGGGCCAACTGCACCCAGGTGGACAGCTGGCCAGGCTTACCTGGCAAAGGGGCGGGGACCCCTGCCCTGAAGGGGGCGGACCTGCCCGCCTCCACGCTCACCTGTGCTGCAGCTCCAGCTGCTCCTTCAGCTCCTGCCTCTCAGACTCCAGGCGTTTCACCTGCATCTCCTGGTTCATCACGCTCCACTGCAGGTCCGAGAGCCTCCCCTTCAGCACACTGACGGTCTGAAAGCGAGACAGACAAGAGCCGGTCCCCTCCCGTCCCGCTCTGGAGGGCGAGGACAGAGCCATCTCCTCCTTTGGAACACGTGACCGCCCCTCAACCCCACCTGAGCCCCGCCTCGGTGACCTGTGGCCTCTGGAGTGAGAACGCTGCCGGCCAAGGCGGGCCCGGGCCTCACGCCTGGCGGCCTCCACACCCACACCCCACGTCACCCCTTCCCAGCCGGCGTGTGCACAGCCCCCCAGTCCGTGGCGGCCCACACCCACTCTGTCCTCAGCCCAGAATCCCTCCTCTAACCACCCCACCCCAGCACCGCGCCCCCCGCCCAGCTGTGCAGGAGACGCTACACGGGGACACGCCGGGCACCCGCCAAGCAGTCAGAAGTGGGCGCCGAGGCTCCTCAGCATGACGCCACGAGAGCCACACACAGCGAACGGGAGCTGCACGAGTGCCGCGGAGGCCAGAAGGGGTCATGGGGGAAGGCACAGGGAGGCCTCCAGGACAGCGAGTCCGCTAGACGGACACTGGGGCGGAACCGCGGTCCTCAGCTCGGACCACACCCTCCCCGGACAACCTTCTGGTGAGGGGACCCCACTTGTGGCTTTCCTGGGGCAAGAGAGCACGCCTCCAACAGGAAAAGCCAGCCCACTCAAGGGCGTCACTCTAAGTTAACAAGTGGAAACATCGCCCCATCAGCCTCTGAGAGTCAGACATCAACCTACACGCTGAGGGCAAGAGGACGGCCTGGCAAACTCACCACAGTGAGCAACCCTCACACGGGGCACCGTCTGCAAACACGGAGGCCACAGCAGGCCCCCCAGGGAGGCTGATGGGGGGGTGGGTCTGTGTCCTACCCTCTCATCGACCTGCATGGTTTCCTTTATTATAACAGTGACTCTCAATCCGGGACCCAAAGAAGAATGAAGATACTTAAGATTTATTTAACAATGAACATATCCTTTGAGGATTCTTCCTGAACTAAATAAAGGTACAGGCGCTGTGCTGAATCCAGGAGCCAGACAGCCCACCGCCTGGAGGACAAAGCTGCGCGAAAGCCAGGCCACCACCAGGATGACCTCAGAGAGCACGAGCATCTAGGCCAGGCACCGCGACAAGAGAACACAGCTGTGCGGGCGGGAGGTTTACAAACCTAGACTCGGAACCAAGGACACCTTCTCCACAGGGTGAAAAGGGAGATGAGCAACGTCGGGGTCTCCGTCCCAAACCGCCACAACCCTTGCCACGCCAGGCCCCACGGGCATCTGCTCTGCAACTTCTGTGCCAAGGGTGCCCCCCAAATTGCTCCTCACTGAGCCATGTGCAGGACATGCCCACCCCCGTCCTCCAGAGAAGCCTGCGAGAGAGCACAAGCAGGCACACACCCAAGGCGGGAGGAGGACTTGTCTTACGGCCGCTCCTGCCAACATCCACGTCAGAAGACAGATGTAGGAACAAGCGTAACATGCTCTCCAGCGCGGCCAAGGCAGAGATAACCTGGCGCTGCTCCGAAGAGCCACCAGGGGGAGAAGACCACGCAGACACAGAACCCCGGTCATCCCGCGGCCCCCGACTCCCCCCGCCCGGCAGCGTCTCATCTTCCTCCTCGCAGCGCCTGTGATCCTGAGCAGCACAGCAAAGACACAGGGAAGGTCAGAGGAGTCCAATTTCCACAAGCATCAATGTCTGGGTTCTGTCTCTAAAGCTTACACAACCTTCGGTTGGTAGAGACCATAAGGACTACGGTTGATCTATGCTCTGGTTCCAGACATATTCTCAGATGCTAACAAACCTTATTAATAATCAAAGAAATGCAAATCCAGAGGCACATCTCTGGGGGCGGGGGCAGGGGGGGCAGAATCACAAGTATTTCCAGAAAACACCATTATCCGTGACAGGTAGAGGTTCCAGTGAAAGTAGAATCCTCAACGATAGCTACTAGTAGAACACAGCAACTGGTAGCAAAAGCCATAGAGAGACCTGTACCTGGTGATCTTATAACCCCATTCCTAGGGATCTGTCCAAACGAAATCATTCAACAGAAACAAAAAGGCTACACGCATGAAGCTATCTACCACATATGTATCTGTATGAGGGTGTGTGTGTGTATTAAAAAAAACACTTGAAAGTGACCAAAAACAGGTTAGTCAACCACTAAAAATAATCACAAAGACTAAAAAAGTATTCAACTTACTAACTGAAAACCACAGAATGGAAAATTAGTATTTCTGCTACGATCACAACCACGCAAAAACGTAGGCACACACGTGGGGAGCAGAAGTACACAGTGGCGCTACCACGGAGCTACCGTGCTGGAGGTGGGAGTTCATCTCCCCTCCGCCCAGAGACTGCTCGTGGGGAGAGGGCAGCACCCCAGCCCGGGGCCCCAGCCCCTCACCTCGCCGGCTTCGGCCAGGCCGTCCTCCTGGTCCCGCAGCCTCTTGCTGGCCGCATCCAGGCTCTGCTGGCACACCCTGTAGCGCTGCAGCTGCTCCTTCATCTTCCCCTCCGCCTCGGCTTCCCGCTCCTGCAGCTGCCGAATGCGCGTCAGGAGCTCCTGGTTGCGGTCCACCTCGCGCTGCCAAGGAGAACGCCTGGTGAGACGGCGCGTGAGCAGGCCGAGCCCAGCCCACTCTGCCCGCCGGACAGGACCGAGACCCAGAGCAGAGCCACCGACAAGGCAAGAGCCAAGTCCACAGGCACCCCGAGGCCGCAGCGGGACGCCCTCCAAGGTGAGCACCCGGCCACAGCGGCGCAACGCCACATCTCACGGCGCCCCCCCGGGAGGGCGCTCGGCACACGTCACCGCCACCGACCACTGCTCACGGTGGCCATCTGCAAGGAGGAGCACAGCGATCTCACTCAGACTCGACCTTGGGAAGATGCCTCTGAGCTTGGCAGCTCCGGCGGCTCCCGTTCCAGTGAGTCGGCACGCCCCCAGCCCCCAGAGAGTGGACGACCGGGCAGGGACAGGGGGCGTGGCCAGGAGCCTGCAGGCAGGAGCACGTGACCATGGGCCCTCATCTCCCCCAGAGCTTCAGAGCCACCCTGCACTGGCCCCCTCGAGGGGCCGCGTGGCTTGCGCTGGTAAGGAACGCACAGAACTCAGACTCCTCACTCTGACGATCTCGGGGTCCGAAGGGGCAAGTGTCGGCCACTGAGGTTACCCTCAGCCCAAGAAGCAAAGGGACCTCAAGTGGCAGCCAGAGTCCCAGGGGCAAAGGCACCAAGTCCTAGTTACATGGAGCCTGACACTCTGCTGACCTCTGACCTCTCATCAGGAAGCTGAGCCGCAGAAGCTCCCGCCAAGGGCTGCCTGCCGGGCACTCGCAGGGCCTGCCGTACTCAGAGGCAGTGCTGAGACCAGGACTCTCGGAGCCCAGCGGCAAGGAGGAGCTTAAGAAAAGCACGGCCAGGGCCACGGCCTCTTGCTGATCCAGGGTTCAAAGGAGCCACCAACCGCGAGTACAGCCTCCAAACCACCAGGAGGCCTTAAAGCCTGGGGACCTGCCAAGATGCAGGAGTGAGCTGCTGTGGCTGTGCAGGGACCCGGCCAGCACGTCACAGGGCAAGACGTGGCATCTCTCCTCAGGCTGCCAGTCCCAAGTGCACATGCGGCAGTCCAGGCAGGTCCCCAGACCTTGGACGCTGAAGTCTCACCATCTCATAGGTATTTCCAGGTGGGAGGGCTGAGATTCCCACCCACCTGCCCTCTCCACCCACTACCAAACTGGCAGTCCCTGAAAAACCTTCGCAGATACCCAAGACTCAAAGGGACAAACTGAAAACCACTGGCTCAGACGGTTCGAGAGCCGTCTTCAGCTAAGTCCACGGGCAGTGGGGAAAGACCTCTCCGAGAGGAAGGCGCAAGTTCAGCGAGGGGGCCCCAGGATTAAGCTCAGTCAGCCCTGTACCCTTGGATTTCCCCAAGAAAGACTGTCAGTGACTCACTTCAATACTTGCAAGATTCCCGTGGCCTCTCCCTCTTCCTCTTCCCACCGGCTCCCCCAGGACATCTTTCCTAGGACAACCCAGAACATCGGCCGAAGCCCCACACTGAGCAGTACCAGGGCCAACGCCGAGGCAGCAGTCCCCCACCTGCAGCACACTGGGCTACTGAGTCCACACAACACACCACGGCCACGGGCCTGCACGTCGGGCTCAAGTACATCCAGTTGGCATCACACCCTCGAAGCCATCAGCTATTTCTACAGGGACCAGGAAAGAGTGGGAATATGCCACGTAAGGTGAGAGTGGGGCCAGACATCCACCCTCAGGAAAGCACAGAGGCCAGAGACTTATTGAAAAGCCCTGGCAAAGTGCTGTTAATCAAAGCACAGGCAGCGTGGAACTGACGCACTAAGTGAACACCTGGCGTCTCCTCTGGGTAACAGCTGCCCTGGGTGAGGCAAGGGCAACCTGAAGCAGCCCCCGAGATTGGGGCTCTTGGCGCGGAGGCCTTATAACCATTTGCACAAGAGCCAGCCTGGACCTGAGACTCTTACACAAGCCGGTGACTTTCGAGGCCTGTAACCCCCAGGCCACCTGGCATTTGTGCCAGACCTCCATCCCAATTCTCACAGAGAAGACAGGGCAACGAGGCAGCCGGCGGAGACGAATGCCCACCAGCACCTCACTGCGCAGACGTGGCAGGGCAGCCGTCCCTTCGTGCTGCCCTCCCCGGGGACACAGAGCACACCTGAGGCCCGACCCACTTCCTCAGGTGGCCTAAGAAGGCAGGCCCTGGACACCTGGAGGAGAGCACCTGGGCCGCTGGCTGGGCTCTTGCTCCCCGCGGTCTGGCAGGTACACGCACCACCCCCTTGCTCTGGGGGGCCCCACCAGAGCCCACCTCATAGCTCCTGGCACTGGCGCTGGCTGCCCGCTCCAGTTCCACGCGGGCCCTCTTGTGACTCAGCTCCATCTGCGTCTTCTCCCGCTCCACCTGGATGAGGTGGGACCTGGAACGGATCTGCTCTGCTCGCTCCTCCAGCTGACCGGGTCATGTGCAAAGAAAAGACAGGTCCTCAGAAGCTGCGTCAGCCAGGCGAGGGGCTCACTCAACACTCCCTCACCAAGCACCTGCTCCCAGCAAGGCCCTCGCTCAGCCCTGGGGAGGAAGGAACACCGGGCCCCCAGGTGGGAAAGGAGTGCAGGGAGGCAGCAAGACAAGAGAAGGTGACAAAGGACGAAAGAGGAAGGTGCGTTTTCAGATGACAGTGTGAGGGCTTGTTTCCTATGCCGTGTAACAAACTACCACCAACGCAGCAGCTTAAACGCCCATATGCTGGCTGTCGGTTTCATGGGTCAGAAGGCCGGGCACACAGAGCCAGGTTCTCCGATCAGGGTCTCAACATCTAAAATCCATGCAGTCGGCAAGCTGTGCTCTCCCCTGTAGCTCAGCAGCCTCTTCCACGCTCCTATTTCCTTGCTGGCTGGAAGGCCCAGGCTGCTGTCAGCTCCCAGAGGCTGCCCACATTCCCTGCCACACGGCCCTCTCCACCTCCAAAGCCAACGAGGGAGAATCTCACACGTGTGGAATCCCTTTCCTGCTCTGCATCTCTGACTTCTCTGTCTGATCTCTGAACCCAGATTTTAAAGACTCACCTGATTGGGTCAGGCCCACACAGGTACTCTCCCTACCTTAAGGTCAACTGATTGGAGCTATTAATTCTATCTGCAGAACCGCGGGGCCACAACACCTAGTTAGTGTTCGATTAAGTGGGAGAAACTCCAGTCCACCAGGGGCCAGCAGTTTGGGGCCCATCTCAGAAGTCTGCGTCCCCCAGAGGGTGGTAAATAAGGTGGAACTGAAGCTCTGAAGGGCCTCAGAAGACACAGCCAACAGTACCACCAAATCACCGACTGCAAGGGCCTTGTCTTCAGGGGGCTAGAGCCCAACCCCTCCAAGAACGGCCTGCAGTCCAGCAACACAGCATCTCCTGGGCACTTAACAGAAACGCAGAGTCTCGGGCCACACCGCACAGATACCAAATTGGAACCTTCCTTTTAACCATATCTTCAGGTGATTCATATGCACGTTAAAGTTCAAGATGCTCTGGGCTATAGAAAGTGGTTCTCATTTCAATCAGGGACATGGGGCACTGTCTGGGGACACAACTGATCGTCACAAGAAGGGGCGACACTCTGTGTTGGCTCCTGGCATGTAGTGGGTAGAAGCCAGGGATGTTGCTAAACATCCCACGATGCACAGGAATGTCCTACAAAACAAAAAATTATTCAGCCCAAAATGTCAACAGTGCCAAGTGTGAGAAATCCCAGGCCAGAGAAAAGACATTTTCTCCACCCTTCCCCCACATACTTTGGAGGCCAAAGTCCACACTTTCTTTACCCCTCTGATATTTTCTCTCATTTCAATTCCCACCTGTTGACATTTGGGAGTTCCTAACTCTACCCTCCATCAAACTCAGTCTTCCTAGTCTCACTCTGAGTCTGCAGCTAGGGCCCAGCTTCTTCAGAGGATGGCGGGACCCCAGCTCCGAGGGTGTGGGTACCACACGGAAGTCCCGGAGACACACATCCATTGGCCACATCTTCCTGGAACATTGACTATATCTGAAGGAAAGTCACTGAACGTATTTTTATATTTAAGCCAATACTGACACGTAGCACAGCAGACTATAAACACCTGCACACAGAAACAGGAACCTTAAAATAAAGCAGGGGAGGGGACTAGTAGGCAACACACTGCTCTCTGCCTCCAGACTCCCCAGACCTGCAGCTGCTCTGTTCCCTCACTTGCTATTCCCTCACCTGCCAGGCATGGTAGGAAAGAGACAGAACACTGACTGAAGTCCTGAGACAGGACAGGTCCAAGGTCAGGGCTCCTAGGCAGGTCCGGTGCCACATGGCTCTCTAACCAGCTCACTCTGGCTACAGCTCTCATTTACTGATCTCCCAACCGGGGAAGCCTTTCAGGTCATAGGTGAGTGAGAACAAGGGACCCTGGAAATTCTAGACTCTATAGTTCCAACAGGCCAAAAGTTCCCAGACATCTCCATCAATAAAATTATAACTTTCTTAGACCAAAGATGCCAACTTCATATTCTGCCAGTGAGCAAGGATCAAAAAAAAAAAAAACAAAAAAAACCCTATAGTCTGTCACCACCACCATTTCAAAAAAGGTGTTTTAACAACAAAAACAAATATAAATGACCTAATTTCAGGATAAAGAACAGTCCTTGCCAAAAAAAAAAAAGGGCAGTGAGCAACTTAGCCCACTAACAAACACATAGTGATTCAACTATTCAGCAAACGAATGCATACAAACACAGCAGCCCCTGTTTTAGCAAATGTGGCATGGACTCATCAGGGCTCCCAGAGCAACAGGAAACCACTGGCTCGTCTGACACAGGACATTATAGCAGAAAGGCTGCAGCAACACAGGCAAGGCTGACAAGAGAGAAGGAATGCAAGCAGAGAAGCCAGAGATCACCTGATGCAGCCCTGACAGTGGCAGGGGCCTGGACATGGCTCAGACACCACATCCCCTCCCTATGTGGACCCAGTGATCCCTGCCCCAACTAGCACTGACCCCACGACTCTTCAGAACCTGAAGTCCTTCAGGAGACCTGAGCCTTTACAACTGTGTCCACAGTGAGCATTGCCGAGAACTTGGAATAAAGTGAAATAAGACTATGAGCAAAGTGAAACTATAAAAATCACCCCACGGCAGACTGAAGCGAAGATGTGCAAATGGCCCCCATAGTCTGAGGCTGTCATATGCCCAAGCCTTCACTCACTGCCCTGCCTTTCCTGCCAGGCTGACCAAGAACCTGTGCTTAAAACACAGCCCTCCCATGTGTTACACCACCAAGGGAGCCAGCAGCTGGCTACACAATTCCAGTGGTCATGTGCCCGGGCAGTTTGGGACTGTTTCCCTCGATTAAATGGATAAAGTGGCTTTCCAATCCTAGCTTTGGTGTCTGCGAGCTCGCTGGTGTCAGCACAGTGCTGACCCACTCTGGGGGTGCTGTTATCTCAGGCTTTTGAGCCAGGACAGCTCAGGGCCAGACCATGACCTCTGGCTATCCTCCAAAACTATGCCTACCCACGTTGGAGACGTGGGAGATGGCCAGCTGACCTCTAGGCCGAGAAAGCGCACACCTGCCTCAACTATATGGGAGTTGAATCAGCCCTACCGAAGGGAAAGTCTCTGTATGTAGAGGCCCTTATCCTGACACAAACCGCTCTCCTACACCATCTGGAACTCGAACCAGCCCCACCTAAGAGCAGGTGTCTTTACCTAGAGGCCCCTATCCCAACACATACCACTCACCTGCATGCTCTGTTGGTACTGCATCTGCAGAGAACCTTGGGCAGAGGTGGAAACATCCAGTCCAGATCCTCCCTCCACTCGCTGAGAAATGAAGTTGTTCAAAGACCTCAGGGTGGACAGGACGGTGGTATTCTCCCCCAGGTCTTCCATGGCCACTTCCCTTCTGGAGGAAAGCAAGGCAAGGGTCACAGGAAGCCTTTTCATGAGCCATCAGCTCTGCCAGCTGCCCAGTCAGGGGGACCTTCGGGCAGTCCCACTCCCCTAATGCTCTCTCAGAGCCCTTATAATATTCCAGTGTCCGTAACCACATTCTTTGGAGTTCACTGGGAGCCCACACTGCCAATTTCTCAGAGAAGAAACGGAGGCATAAAAGTACAACACGCCACCAAGCTGCTGACCTGCACACCAGGAGGACAGACAGACGGCTCCCAAGATAAGGTGCTCGACAATCAGGTGGCACGTCTCCCACATAAGCAATCACAAAAAGCCTAGCTTCTGGGAATCAGAAACAAAGCACACAATGGTGGCAGTAAGGATGACAACCACAGCAACGCTAATTACAGGATAACAAAGACGTTAGTAAGTGTCACTACTATTTCAGCCACAGGCACCACACAGAAAGGTGCCTGACGTTCACTGGGCACCAGGACTTCCTGAACCTGTCTCCTCATCTGTACACTGAGGATCCCACTTTTCAAAGTTGTGAGGATTGTAAGGGCCCAAAAGAAGTCTCCAAATGGCAGACGGCACAGCTATTGCCGCGGAGTCTATCACTTTGCTTGTAATTTAACATATGACACAGCAATCATCACAATGGGCAGATGAATGAAACCTTCTTACACATTCTTTTAGAGATGATAGAAAACGAGGCTCCAAAAGTTACAGAACCTAGACTGGAACCTGGGTCTGTCTGGCTCTAAAGGTCAAGGGCACTCCCCAGGCCACTGTGTGAAGGGCCGAGGACACGCAGAAGCAAAGAACACGCATCCCCAGCCCTGCGCTGATTCCAGCCTCACACCAGGCCGTCTACCAGTCAGAAGGTGTGGAAGTGTCCTAGGCAGAGTTAACAGCCAAAAGGTGTGAATTCCTACAGGTGCATACTGTGTTCCCCTGAGGAAAGCAGCCAGCTCTCACTGATTTCCCCTAAGTATTAGACTGAAGGCACCTGCCCCCAAAAAAGGTGAAGAATCTTGGTTTGATTCTGCATTTCACACTTAACAAGAAACTTGGCCTTGGGCACGAAGAGCCCTTGTCTTCTGTAGGCCATCGTTTCCACCGCTGCACAACACAGCTGTTCTACCTCTCCTTCATACTACAAATGGAAAATGGGCTAGAAGACAGACCGGGGAGGGGCACTCACAGTGCTGTGAGCCTCCCTGAGAGACACAGGCCCACGTGGAGCCAGGCAGCAGCGCTCTGCTCTGGAAGGCAAATCCTCCCGTTTGACCAGGACCATACTTTCCATCCCATGATGGGAAATTTAGGCAATACACCCTCTTCTCAAGAGCTGATGCACTTAATACAACAGAATGAAAAGCACACGTCCATTTTCACCTGCCTGGAGCTAAACCACTCCATAAGGCAAGCGATAAGGTGAAAGCTCAAACTCCATGCTCTCTATCAAAGACACTCACTTCCAGAAGTCTAGTCGCTGAACGTGAACTGCTCTCAACGGAACCCCTGAGCTGGGAGCCAGAGCACACTGCCTCTCGACTGCCCTCCTTGGCAAAAGGACACCCGAGGGCACCTACAGAAATTGCGAGGATGCTCCCCACCCGGCAACACCACTTCACACCGCCACGGGCACTTGCGCTCCACCCGGCAAGACCACTTCACACCGCCACGGGCACTTGCGCTGGCCTAAGTTCACCACCCGTTTGTCTGCTTTCTCCTAACTTAGGCAACTCCCACGCTGCTCAAGTGAAGACATGCGGGCGACAGTGCTGTAAACTCGAAAGGGCGGGACTGGGGGAAGGGCTCCTCTCTCTGCACTGGGCCGTCTGGGGGCGGCGGGGGAGGGGGGGTGCGCCTTCTTCCCGGAGGCCGGGCGGTGAAGCACCTCTCCTCCGTGGCCGCCTCCGCCCCGGCCCTCGCTCGCCCCCCGAACCCTGGCCATTTCCATTTGCTCCTTTCGGAGAGGAAGCCTTGGGGGGCTGCACGGGACGCGCCCAGGCTCGGAGGACAGAGCACGGAGCGGAGGGGCGCGCCGGCAGGGACCCCGGCCCCGGTGAGCACGCGGACAGACAGTGGACACGCCGGTAACAGCCCCAGGGCCGGGGTCTAAGAAGGAAGGGGGGACGCCGAGGGGGCGCCGTCTCAGAGCCCCAGGGCAGGGGGCGGCGTCCGCACCCAGACCCGGCGGGCTGCCCCAGCCTCTTCTTCGCCCGAACCCAGCCGATTCGGCTCAGCACCCGCCCCCAAGCCCAGCCCGGTACCCCTCCCAGGACCCCGGCCGCTCACCTAGACGCCTCAGCCTCCGTGCCGCCGTCGCCGCTGCTCAGATCTCCCTCTTTTACGCCCGCGTATCGCGAGACGTACGCCTGCGCTCTCGCGAGACCTGGGCGGAGCAAGCCGTAAAACTCCGGGCCCGCGCACCAACGGGTCCTGGGGCCTTCGTGTTCGCCCCCATAGCCACCCACCCGCAGGAGACCCCGCTCGGAGAGGACTGGGAACCAAAGGCCAGCCCGTGGGACTATCTTCGTGGCCCAGGCCTCTGCGGGTCAGGCTTCCACTGGGCGGCTGCCTGGCACCGTATTGTGGGAACAGCACCGGCCAACGGTGGCCTCGCAGGGCCAAACTTTCCAGCCCGCCGGACTAGTCCGCAGATTTTGCCCCTACAGTATTTGCCTGAATGAATGCCTTTTTTACTTTCCCCTGGCCCTCTAAAACAACGCGAAAAATCGGTCTACTAAGCTACCCTCCCAGCGCCCTGTGAGCTGTCGGGGCGCGATGCCGTCGTCTGGGTCCCAGTTCTCCAGGGCGCAAGGGCAGAGCGGGGCGAGGTCAGCCCACAGCCAGCAGATCCCTCCTGGAACCACAGCAACCTGCGTCCACTAACGGGTCTCACCGGCCCCTCCTCCTCCCCTCCCCCTGCTAAGCGTCCGAGGGTCTGCACCGAATTCCCTTCCAGAGAATAAAACACGAGGTTTTGTGGCCGGAAGGAAACGGGATGGGGAGGTGCAAGCAGGACAGGAGGCTCTCTGGGCTACATTAGCGGGCTGCGAGCGCAAATAAAACAAAATCTTAGAAGTCGGGCCTGCAGCCTACTTCAGTGATCTGGACTACCCTAGGACCCTATGGAGATTCCTGGGTATCTATTCTTTCCCCCAGCGATCCTTCGGATTTGTGAACTAAAACTGCTGCCTGCCGTATCAGTAAATAAAAGACGTTCCGGTCACCAGCCACTACAGCCACCCCCGATGGTGAGACCAGGGAACTCGGGATGGAAACAGCATGCCCGCCGTCAGACACTGCAGCCACCACCTCACCGCCCCGCCACCCCAACGGCACACCGAAGAAACTCAGGAAGAGAAAACATAGGACGCTTGCCCCAGAGAGCTGAGGTGCACATCAAAGAAATGATCTCAGTGACCCCCGACTCCGGCATCTTCCCAAACGTAGAAACGCACTAAATTCCTTAACTCGAGCTGCCTTGCTTTTGTTTTGTTAACAGGGATCATTTGATATTCCAACTACCTGGTCTTTGCTGCTAAAACTCCTATAGATCCTGGCTCCCCCCTTGCCGCTTCGGAGCAATCTCTGAGTTATCTGAGATGCTGTGTCCGGGCTTAAGTCCTCTGTTTTGTCCACCAAATAAAACATAACTCTCAACTTTCAGGCGGTGCGTTCTCTTTTCGGTCTACACATTTAATCATCATTACAATCAATAAACTCTTCTTAAGAGATGAGCATACCTCCAGGAAATGGTTTTGAAGAAATTAATTTTTCAAAAGATGGACTTAAAAGCATGGAATTCCATAAAGTAATACGTCCTGGATTGTTTCGTAAAGTTGCATCGAGTTCCCGGAAGAATAGAAGGAAACAAACGCACACACCACTTCTCCGCTTGCTCCGGCACACTTACCTGTAAGTCTTTGGAGGCCGGAGTATGACAGCAACAATCCCAGAGAAAAGCAAAGCACACCCACCCCGTGCATAATTCATACCAAACGTCTTCCCTGATTGTTCTGAGAACTCTCACTGCTTGAAGAATGGATGTATTTCCAGATCACTCGCCAGAGAGATGGACACAAATGCCCAGACTGAAACTTCAGATTTTTTCTACATTACACGGTAAACCAAAAATAACACCTGGAAACCTGTGGGTTGTTTTGGAGCAAGGGTGGAAGCCTGTTTCTCTGTAACATACTAACGTGGGTATGAAGAGAAAGTTACATAAAGGTGTCCGTGTGTATGTTTCTCTGCCTCCCAGTGTTTTTTGTTTGTTTGGTTTGGTTTTTTTTGCGGTACCCGGGCCTCTCACTGCCGTGGCCTCTCCCGTTGCGGAGCACAGGCTCCGGACGCGCAGGCTCAGCGGCCATGGCTCACGGGCCCAGCCGCTCTGCGGCATGTGGGATCTTCCCGGACCCGGGCACGAACCCGTGTCCCCTGCATCGGCAGGTGGACTCTCAACCACTGCGCCACCAGGGAAGCCCGACTGCCAGTGTTTTTATCCTTCCCTCAGTCTGCCTGCTCATCCTTTAATCTTTGCCTATCTCTTCCTCTTCACGAATCATGTTATAGAGACTTTTTTATCATATGTCTTGGACACTGAATATAGTTTTGTCACATCTTTTGGGCTTAAAAAAAGGTCCCCCATTTGTCCTGCCCGCTGCATCCGAGATCAAGCTCGGATCTCCCCAGCCACACTTCAGGAAAGGGCTCAAGCTACATTTGCAGTGAAAAAGAACCAGAAACAGCAGAAGAAACTCTCATTCCTTCACAGACCTTCCCCCTTCCCTCTTCGGTACTGTGTGGCCAAGAGGTACACCTCTGATGATTCCTTCCTGCTGGCTTCAGGTTTTACAGTCCTTGTTTTCTGGAATTCCTCTGTCAGTCTCTTCTGTAACCGATGGCTTTGACTTCCAGCCCAGGTTTTACACAGCAATGTTCCCCCAGGGTGCAGGACTTCTGGAGCCATGTCCAGAAGGGACAAGCACAGGCTGATGAGCCTGTCGTGGTCGAGGCCCCGGATCCCCGTGGCGTTGGGTGCCATGTCACTCAGAATCACATCTGCTCTCCCAGCAGGAAGCAGTTCTCGGATTCTCTGCAAGGTTCTTGGGTCCGTCACATCGGCAGGGCACAGAAAAGTTGCTCCTTCCAGGGGGGACACGTGAAGGAGATCTACCCCAAGCACAGAGCCAACAGGAGCACTGGGATCTAAGGAAGAAACGGTGACTGTACTTATTTACACCCTGAATCTTCCCACAAACAATAAATGCAACAAAATAATAAAATAGAAATAAAAAGTCAGGACCGAGGAAAAGAGCTAATGTGCAAATATGTGGACACAAGCCTTTCCCCACTTTCTGTACATCCTACAAAAACACGTGCTGGGGAGTGGTGGTCCTTCTACCTCTGAGGAAACTGAGGCCCAGAGAGGAAAAGTGACTGTCCCAGGGGACAGGCAGACCTGGGGCCACACCCTGGGCCCTGACACCGTCTCTGATTTCATTGCACTCCCTGAGCCTTGCGGTCCATGAAAGGGCTTTTATCTCTGAGTGCTCTTTTTGACAAACTGAAACAGAAAATGACACACCAGTATACAAAGTGCCTCTGGATTAAATCAACAAATCCATTCTGCAGTTTAATCCAATTTCTTTCAATGCAGAAACTAGCAGAAACAGGCTAAGAGAGGGAGGAAACGGACAAATGCAAAATAAGGTAAAAAAATTTGATACCCTGCCCATATTTGAGTGATGCCAGTGGTGAAAGAAAAAGATGTTATTGTTTCACCTCACCTGAAACAAGATTTCCTGCCCGCACGGCCGCTGCACCCAGGCTCCACCTGCCTTCCCTTCCCTTCCCGTTCCAAGCTCCCCTCTTCACAAGCCCTGGGGGCCCCTCCCTGCACCACCCCTACACGCCGGGCTCCCTACATGCCAGGGTAGATACAGGCTAGATACATGAAGGGGACAGACTCTTTTGTAGCTCACTCGGCTTGGTAAAAACCTGCTCCACGGGTGAGGGGGCGGGGCGTTTTATCTCGATCTAAAGATTGGAAGTCCAGGTATTCTGCAGGATACCTCATTTTTCAAAGGCAAAAGCTCTCCATTTTCAGCCCTGGCTACTGGGACATCTCTCGTTCCATTTTATACACTTCTGGTGTCTCAACTTTAACGTTCCACATACTACAGCCCCAGGAAGTGTCCTCTAAAGGCAAATGGCTTTGGTTCCACTTTTGCAACTTCTGGGAGTAAAAGAACCAAACCATTTGATCCACACACTCTTTGCTTCTGCCACCTCTTCCTACAAGTTAAACTTCGGCATTTTCCTGCTTCTACTGAAGAGAAATTAGGGGGACAGGAACCACTAAAATCAGTTGTTAGGAAGTCTGTGGATAGACTCAGTGGTGGGAAAAGGAACAGAAGTTTCTGACTCATTCATTCACTTAGCTGATAAATACTAAGCTCAAAAGAAATTTTTTAAACTGTTTTTAAGGTGTCTGGGAGAGATCTTTGTGAACTTCACATGTGTCATAATGCCAGTGCATGTGGTACCCTCAGACTTCACAGCAGGAAACACAAGTGGTAAGGATCGTTACCACAGCACTGCACACCCAAAAGCAACCTTGGTGCCCAAGATGGGGAGACTGTAAACACCAACAGTACGACCGTTACCTGGAATACCACGCAGCTGTTTCAAAGGATGGCATAGTTTCCTGCCTTGCATAGTTAGTTGATCTATTAGTGAGAGGAAACATTTTTATATAGACGATCTTAGTCAAAACCCCTAAATGTAAAACAGATAAAAGCTAAGTCCCTCAAGCTGAGCCAAAGTGGGGAATCCAGAGCCACGAGGGCCCCCCCGGGCAGCCCCAGGAGCACCTCCAGGAAACCCAGGGCTTCAAGGACCAGGACCTGGAAACCCCTGAGGTTGACTCAGTTGTACTGTCATGGAAAGACATCAATATATCAGTCAGCCAAAAAAATATATATATATATCTCTGTTGAGGCTCTGAATCAGCAACAGAGGTACGGGACGGACACCAGTATATTAGTCGACACACTACTGTGGTGTGATGTGAGGTGATTTTCACTTTCATTGTCCCTTTCTACCCTGTCTCTCATTCTGAAAATGTCAGTGTTGTATCGTTCCTCCTGAACAACCACGCAGAAGCGTGTGCCTTCACGGGGCGGCTCCGCTGCTCTGCATCCCCTGGCAGAGGGCAGCGCCTGCGTCTAACCCACGGTGGTCGGGAGGCCCCACCTGTGCCTGCAGCGTTGACACTCTGCACAGCCACCTGGCTCCACGCGCCAGGAGCGGCGCCGCAGTCTAACACCCGGAGGCCAGGCCGCAGAATCCGGTGCCTCTCGTTCACCTCCAGGAGCTTGAAGGCACTTCGACACCTGTAACTCTCCACCTTCGCAGCCTTCACAAACGGGTCCCTCAAATGCCGCATCAGCCACAGGTGCTCAGCGCCCGTCCGGCCCTTGAAGCAACTCCCACCGGTGTGGAACCTTTGACGCTGAAAGGAAGCCCACACCAGCTTCGAGGACCTGGTGAGGAAAAGGGAGCAAGCAGGTTGGCATTGCAAAGACCAGCAGGTCAGGAGCTCGCAGGCTCAATCCGCACGTTTTCAGAGATGGGACAGTGCGGCCCAAGAGGGAGAGGTGACTTGACGAGGCCCCACAGCCGGAAAGAAGGTGTGACGGGCTGAACCGTATCCCCCCGAAGCCTCTACGGTCAAGTCCCAACCCCCAGCACCTCAAGAGGTGGCTGGTCTTTAAATGAGGTAATTAAGATAAAATGAGGTCACATGGGTGGGCTCTAATCCCATATGACTGGTGTCCTTGTAAGAGGAAGTTAGGACACAGACACACACACACAGCGAAAACCACATGAAGACACAGGGAGAAGGTGGCCGTCTACAAGTCGAGATGTCCCAGGAAGCACCCCTGCTGACACCTTGATTTCAGATTTCCAGCCTCCAGACACTGAGCCAGACACTTCTGCTCTGTAAGTCGCCCGTCCTGGGTGCTGGCTTATGGCAGCCGGAGCACGCTCCTCCGGCAGGCCCCTCCCCTTCAGCCCAAAGGTGTTTTTTTCCCTCCTGAAGTTTTCTTCAGGAAAACTCAAACAGTAATGGTAGTCACCTTGTTTGTGTCAACCAAAGTTTTCCCAAGACTGGTTAAAAATGCTGATAAAATTACTGAAAGTAACATTCTTTCCCAGCGGATAGAAATTTCCACTGCACTTCGAGAAACTGTGAGAAAACCCCGTGAGGACAGGTCCTTCCCTTGCTTAGTTCCATGGCTTTGGTGGCCAGTACAGCGTCTGACTGGCCTGTCACATTTCTTAAAAAGCCTGAACTCACCCCGTGTGTGAGCGCAGCGCAATTTCCTTCCAAGCCTCTTAGGGGAAGAGGGTGGCTAACATCTGACCCACTGCGAGTTAGCCACACCTCCATTCATGCAAGTCTCAGAACAACCCGACAAAGGAAGCTCTGCGTCCTTTCTTCTGATGAAAAAGGCTGCCATTAGCCCCATGGCTAGCAGCCAAAAGTTCCTTCAGCATGAAAACATGGTGACAAGATTTGGAGACAGTAACGTGAGAACTGCTGCCTTTAAAAGGCGTAGAGTCTCGAGGAAAGAGGACACAGGGTGGTCCTGGGCGCCAGAACTAATCCCACCGGTCAGCGGAGGCGTGGAAAGCGGAGTTACACGCCCCGAGCCCACCTGATCTGGGCAGCGGGCCTCCAGCCCCATCCCACGGCCTGGATTCAGCCACGTGGGCCTCTCACCTCTGGTACGCAGGCTTCAGGCGTGCGGAGCTCTACACAGCTTCACCTCCACCCGCGGCGCCCCCCCACCCGCCCCTCCCTTCCTAAAGCCCCCTCCAGCTCTCCGCTCGCCCGCCCCTCCCCGCGAGCCTTCGCCGACCGTCGGCTTCGTGCTGGCAGGTCTCCTTGTCGGGGCTGACCCTCTCCGGGCCTGGAAGAGGTGGGCTCTGCGCCCCTTTTCTGACCGGAAACCTGGGACAGGCCGCTGGTCACTCCGCCTCCCGCAGGCGTGCAGTAGGTGCTCCACAAATGCCGGCTGAGCGCCAGCCGCCCCGCTCACCGACCGCCCCGCTCACCGACCGCCCCGCTCACCGACCGCCCCGCTCACCGACCGCCCCGCTCACCTGGCCATGAACACCGAACCGCTCCAGCGGCCGCCACCGGAAGTGCCGGCCTCACTTCCGGCCCTAGGCCACGCCCCCGGAAGCGGCGCGCGGGTGGGAAAGGCGCGTGCAGAGCCCGGGAGCGGGTGAGTCCGGGAGCGGGTGAGACCGGGAGCGGGTGAGACCGGGAGCGCCGCCACGGGAGACGGGCCTGCGACTTGCCGGGGAGCGCCTGGTGGGCGGGGGCGGCTGGAGACCCAGCACGGACAAGGCCCCAGACACGGGGGTCCGAGCCTGGCGCTCGACTGTGCGTTGTCTTTAAACTCCAGTCGCGGGCCTCGGTGTACAGGCGACCCCGCTGAGAGGCCACCCGGCTGACACGGGGCGCTGCCCGACCCCTGACGTTAGGCGGGCTCTCTGGGGACCCGTCTGATGGCAGAACCAAGAGCTGTAGCCAACTAGACTTCAACGTGCGGTAGACGCAGGTTGCGGTAGACGCAGGTTTGGGTACCGGCTCCAGTGTCTGATTTGGGGTCAAACGTAGCCTCTCTGAGCTTCAGTTTCCTTGGCTGAAAATGGAAAAGGTAAGTGTCAGCTCACAGAGTTGTTGGGTCTGTTAAAGGGGATAATTTGGGGGAAGTATATAATCGGTGCCTAATCACTGACAGCTGACAGTTCTAGCAGCCGCAGCAGCATCCCAATTACCTTAGGAAGCCAGGGATTTGGACACGAACAGGTCGGGGACATGACAAAGTCCGCAGACTAAAGGGAGGCTGGACCACAGAGACCCACCTCTCCTGCCTGACCTACCGCCAGCACCAGGACCCAGGCCTAGGGCCCTTTTCTCAGACACTGTAACTTCCCAGGAGGATCGCTGGTCCTGAATCCTGCATCTCGTCCAGTGTGGGCGCCAGACTGGGGTGGGGATGGATTGACAGCTAACTTGGTCCTGCTCTTCCAGCATTTCTCCAGCAGTGGCCGACGTCACCCTCCGAGTCTTTCTCTGGACCACACAAACCCATTCAAGCAGGAGAGGCCCTTGGGCTCCAGCACCAGGTCCCAGAGCAGCAACAGTTGTGAGCAGAGTGTGAAAACCTGTCGCAGGAGTGGGGACTATCCACTGTCAGGAGCCATGCATTTCTTGGGAATCTGGGGGTCTGCTTTTGCAGAGAGGCAGAAACCAGAACACAGTAGGCCAGAAGAAGGCCCCGTAATGAGAAGGCCAAGGCCAAAAGCCAGACGCAAGAACCGCTGGGTAAACTGCAGGGTTCTCTTGGTGCCCGGCGGGCTTGGGCCCTGGACACAGGAGCAGGGACAGCCCTGTGCCGAGGAGTGGGGAGGGGAAGGGATGGGCCGTCATCTGACCTGCTGCATCAGCCCAGTAAGCGAAGGGCCTGGGCACTGATGCCCCTGGGTTCTGGGGGCCAGGCCTCTGTCTGCCCCAGAAAACCTGCTACATGTGACAGAGCTGGGACGTTGCCTCTCCGTGCCTGGCAGAGCACATTTCCTGTCCACCCGGCCCCTGGCCACCGCAATACACACGCTTCCATCCACACCCAGGTCAAGCTGACCCAACCCCTTGCCTTCCCTGCAGAACCCAAGGGCACCATGTGTGCCTCGAGGCTCTACACCTTGGTGCTCGTGCTGCAGCCTCAGCGAGTCCTCCTGGGCATGAAGAAACGAGGCTTCGGGGCCGGCCGGTGGAACGGCTTCGGAGGCAAAGTTCAAGAAGGAGAGACCATCGAGGATGGAGCCAAGAGGTGAGGGGAGGGGCAGGCCTGACCGCAGAACCAGCTTCCGCAGGCGACAAGGATTCGGGCTGGAGAGCCAGGCCCCTGATTTGATCACTTAGAGCCACGCGACCTGGAGCCCAGACCGAATCCTTGAGCCTCGGTTTCCTCATTTGCAAAGTGGGGATAGTAACAGTACCTACCTCTTAGGACTGTTGTGAAGATTAAGTGAGAAAATAAACATAGGGGACTGAGCGAGGCCTGGCACATGGTCCGTGCTCAGCACACATTAGCTGCTGCTCTGCAGTCGTGGTTTTTAGGACGTTTGGGAAGCTGCTGTGCAGTGGCTTGGGTGGAAGAATCCTGGCTTCCTCTTTCTCGCCAAGGGACTGGCCAGTCACTGGGCTCCTTCCTTTGTTCAGGGGAGCTGGTGACGAGCGTGTCTGGGAGCTTCCGCACACAGTCTCAGTTCTTCCTTGACACACTCACTTTCACATGGGAAGAACCGAAGCCCAGAGAGGTTGAGCAGTGTGCCCGAGATCACACAGGCCTCCAGACCGCAGCCCCTTTGCCTTCCTGCCCCTCGCAGGCTTGTGTGGATAAATCCAGCCTCCTGTGTCATCCACTGAGCCCCACGCGGTCTGGCCTTGCCCCCTCGCTCCCATCCCTGCCCCCCCGGACACCCCAAGCTGTCATTGCCCACCCACTCTTCCTGGCTCCTCCTCTGGCTGACCCCTCCTCCGCCTTCACATTGGAGAAGGTGCCCCTCCCCCAGCTCTTCTCCATAGACCTCTGGACTTCCTTCACAGAACCGCCACCTTTCTGATCACACCGAATTACGCCCTCTGTCCGTCGTGAGGCCAGGACTGAAGACCTTTTATAAGTCAAGTTTGTATTGAAGTATAAAGTACATGTAGGAAAATGCCAGTCTTCACCAGGGAATTTTTAAGAAATGGGTCCATCATTTAACCAGCACGTAGATCAAGAAATGGGACTGGAGGGTGGACCCTGCCCCCAGGGGGGCAGCCTGCACCTTGACTGCTGTCACAGTTGACGGTTTGGCCCATTCAGAAATACCCTGTAGAAAGAGACTTGCAGCTGTGGCTTCTTCCTGGTATCATGTCTGCATGTGGCAGTGGTCCAGTCCGGTTTATGAACACACTGCAGCCTGCTCATCCCGGGCGTGGGCTTTTGGGCCGTTTCCGGGTTGGAGTTGCAAGTGATGTAGCTGTGGACGGTCCTATACGGTCTTTCCGGTGGATGCTGCCCTCGAGAATTCGAGGTGTTCCGCCTTAGCACATACCGCCAAACAGTTGTGCTCATTTAAAGCCCCGCCAGCGGCGTGTGAGGTCCGCCTCCTCCA